GGGGGGACACCCCAAAAACCCCCGTGGAGCCACCCCCCCGTGCCACCTGCACCCCCTGGGGACAACTGGAGACAAACGGGGACAAACGGGGACAAACGGGGACAGCCCCCCCGGCGCTGACCCGAGAGCCGCGACACGGCGTCGGCGGCGAAGACGGCGGTGGCCTCGTGGCGCGTGTCCACCACGCGGACACCGATCTTCTCGCAGGCCACCAGCACGGGCGAGATGTGGCCGCCGGGCAGCGTGAACAGGAACCGCACGCCGTGCGCGCGCAGCACCTCGGCCACCAGCTCCCCGCCGTGACGGGGACTCGCCGCGTCCACCTGCGGGGACACAGGGGATGGTGGCACCTGTGCCCAGTGTCCCCAGTGTCCTCTGTGCCACCTGTGTCACCTGTGCCCAGTGTGCCCAGTGTCTTCTGTGCCACCTGTGTCACCTGTGTCACCTGTGCCCAGTGTCCCCAGTGTCCTCTGTCCTACCTGTGCCACCTGTGTCACCTGTGCCACCTGTGTCACCTGTGCCCAGTGTCCTCTGTCCTACCTGTGTCACCTGTGCCCAGTGTCCCCAGTGTCCTCATCCTACCTGTGCCACCTGTGTCACCTGTGTCACCTGTGCCACCCACCCCACCTGTCCCCAGTGTCCTCTGTCCCACCTGTGCCACCTGTCACCTGTGTCACCTGTGTCACCTGTGTCACCTGTGTCACCAACCCCACCTGTGCCCAGTGTCCCCAGTGTCCTCTGTGCCACCTGTGTCACCTGTGTCACCTGTGTCACCTGTGTCACCCACCCCCCCCATCCCCAGTGTCCTCCAAGGTCCCGCGCTGTCCCCCCACCCCAATATCCCCCCCGCTGTCCCCGCTGTCCCCGCTGTCCCCAGACCTTGTGGCACAGGCGGTAGAGGAGCCCGAGGCGCTGGGCCACCGTCAGCAGGGCCAGGGCCACCAGCGCGGCACAGGCACAGCCCAGCACGGCCACCAAATCCATGGGATGGGCTGCAAAGCAACGGGGCCACCGTGGGAACCCCTGGGGACACCTGGGGACATCGGGAACCCATTGGGGACACCTGGGGACACCGTGGGACACCGTGGGAACCCCTGGGGCCACCGTGGGAACCCCTGGGGACACCTGGGGACATCGGGAACCCATTGGGGACACCTGGGGACACCGTGGGACACCGTGGGAACCCCTGGGGCCACCGTGGGAACCCCTGGGGACACCTGGGGACATCGGGAACCCATTGGGGACACCTGGGGACACCTGGGGCCACCGTGGGAACCCCTGGGGCCACTGTGGGAACCCCTGGGGACACTTGGGGAACCCCTGGGGACACCTGGGGACACCTGGGGCCACCAGAAGTGACAACAAATGACACGGGGGACATCAGTGGGGACATGGGGAAATGGGGATGGGGACATCGGGGACATCGGGGACATCGGGGACACGGAGCAGCCCCAGGGCGTGGTAGCAAACACGATTTTCATTAATTAAACCCGGATTAATTACAGCAAATTAACTGAAACCAAATTAACCGGATCAGCTGGATGGGGATTAATTGTTTGATTAATTAATTAATGATTAATCCCATGTTAATTGAGCTGGGATTGACTGAGCCCAGTGGATTGTACCCAGATTAAATTCGGATTAATTAAACCCATCTGGATTAATTGAGATCAATGGAGCCCAGTGAACTGAACCTAGCTTAATTAATTAGACCGGATTAATTAAACTCTGGATTAATTAAAGCCAGTTTAACCAGTCCCGGTTTATCCAGGTCCCCGCCCACCTCATCTGCATAATCAGGCGCCCGATTTGCATAATTAAACACTCATTTGCATATTCAAACAAACTCCTCAGATAATTACCCCTAATTAAGAAGTTTCCCGCCTCCCTCGAACATTCCTGGAATTCCCAAATTCTCCCTTTTTTTGCCCCAAAACCCGGCGGGAAAAATGCGGCCGAAAGGGCCCAAATTGGGGCAAAAATCCCCAATTTTGGGACAGGGGGGGACAGCGGGGCCCTGGGACAAACGAGCTCGGTCCTGCCCGGGTCTGGGGTCTCTGTCACCCCAGGTGTCCCCAGGTGTCCCCAGGTGTCCCCTGGTGTCACCCCCGTGCCCAGGACCCTCCCCAGGTGTCCCCAGGTGTCCCCTGACCCCTCCCGTGTCCCCACAAGGCCCGGGCCCCCCCCGGTGTCCCCTCAGTGTCCCCAGACCCCCCTGTCCCCTCCCTGTCCCCCCCTGTCCCCTCACCTGTCCCCTCACCTGCCGTTCCCGGAAGCGCCGCTCGCGCCGTGGCCCCGCCCACACCTGGAGGCCCCGCCCAACCGCGGAGGTCACGTGACTTCCAACTGCCCGCTGCACCGCCCTCGCTTCCGGGTCGGCGCGGTGACGTCATGCTCGCGCGGCGCTGATTGGCGGATTGCGGTAGGGGGCGCGGCCAAGCGCGAGGGGCGGGGAAAATGGGCGGGGCTATATGGAAAGGGCGTGGTCGAGGGGCGTGGCCTGGCGGGAGACACCATCCCCCAAATTTGGGGGGGGGGGGGGCGATCAGGGGGTCGCGGCTGGGGGAGGGCGGAAATTTTAAATTAAAAAATTAAATTTAAACGTTTTCAATTTAAAAGTTTTCGAACTCGTTTGTTTAAACTGGGTCCCATGGGGGGGGGTCCCATTATGGGGGGGGGTCCCATTTTGGGGGGGGGTCTCTGCCCAAGGGGGTCCCGGGTGTCCCCCGCCCCCCTCATCCCCCCCCGGTGTCGCCTGTCCCGGCGAGGGGGGGACAAAAATTCCGTCCCCGCTCCGCGCAGGAAACTCCGGAGGCGAAATCCCCGCGGGGGGTGGCACTTGGGGACACCTGGGGACACTTGGGGACACTTCCCATCCGCCGTGACGTCACCGCCGGGTGAGTCCCCGAAACCCCCTCCTCGCCGGTGTCCCCCCGCCCACGGTGTCGCCGGTTCCTCCCGGCTCTGTCCCCGCCCCGGTGCCACCCGGCCCCTCCCCAAATCGGTTCGTCCCTCCCCGGTGTCGCCACGGTCCCCTCCGGGTCCCGTTAAAAGCCAGCCTCGCTCCGCTCTGTCCCCGATGTCGCCGCGATGTCGCCGCTCGCCGACCCCGAGAATCCCCCGCCACCCCCGTGCCCCTGCCGGTGCCTCTGCCCGGACCGGGACCGGGACCAGAACCGGGGACAGAGCTGGGGACAGAATTGGGACCGGGACCAGCACCGGGACCAGCACCGGGACCAGCACCAGCCCCGGGGGCAGCCCCCGGCCCGGTCCCGGTTCCGCCGCCTGCTCCCGGCCCTCGCCGCTCTCGCCGCCGCCGCTCTCGGAGCCGCCGCCGCCGCCGCCGTCCTGGGCACGCTCCGGGGGCAGCCCCCGGTCAAGGTGGGCACGGGGGGGGGGCGGTGTCCGTCCGTCCGTCCGTCCTGAGGGCTGGGCGGCCGCGTGTCCCGCGGTGCGAGTGTCCGGGTGTCCGGGTGTTTGTTCAGGTGTTCGTTCAGGTGTCCCTTTGTTCGGGTGTCCGTTAGTTCAGGTGTTTGTTCAGGTGTCCGGGTGTCCGTTAGTTCAGGTGTTTGTTCAGGTGTCCGGGTGTTTGTTCAGGTGTTTGTTCAGGTGTCCGCTTGCCCAGGTGTTTGTCCAGGTGTCCCTTTGTTCCGGTGTCCGGTTGTCCAGGTGTCCGGTTGTTCCGGTGTCCGTTTGTCCAGGTGTCCCTTTGTTCCGGTGTCCGGTTGTTCTGGTGTCCGGTTGTTCTGGTGTCCGGTTGTCCATCTGTCCGTTCGTCCAGCAGTCCATCCGTGTGTCCATCTGTCCACCGGCGTGTCCGTCCAGGTGTCCCTGTGTCCATCGCCGTGCCCACCCCTCCTGTCCCCTCCCGGGGGACACGAATGTCACACCCCGCCCCCCCCCCCCCCGCCCGCCGCCCGCCGGCACCACACCCCCGCT